GGCCCCTAACAGTTCAAGAATAAAAGCCAACTTTACTTCTTTTCCACTACACCTAACATTCCATAGAGAGATTATATTGACAACTTTATGTTATTGATAAGGCCGAGACAACTAACTGACATCCCCCATGTCAAGGAATTCCAGCTTTATCAGTAACCCCACAGTCAATTTCTCAAAACTATGCTAGAGGGTTCATTCATTGGCACAGAAGTACGATATGAACTGACGCTACGCGACGAAGGAAAATCAAACTTACACTGTAACGGATATACCTCCCTTTGAAGTTAGAACGTGTCTTCTCAACAAACAGATATTTTTTCTCAAACACTGATGAAGTCACGGAAGTGTTAAACTACAAGATCCACCAATACGATTTAAATACTTTTTAAAGGTTCTACCAAAGGAAGAGATACCATATAACATACTAATAATAACTCCGATGACGTACAGGATAGGAAATATTTTAATCATTGAATGAACAACCAAATTTGGCAACTAACGCAATATTGTTATTGTTTTTACACTTACAACTTTTTGAACAATGTTAAATGCTCAAAATACCGATGTATATTTCACCCAATTTATCGCAGTTAGATGCATTAACGTAAGCCTTGAAAGTAACCGTCGATTTTGACGGGTTTCCCCTAGTATATATATATATAAGTCTATATATCTATATATATAATTCTGTAAGACAAAATTTTTACCAGAAAATTGTGGACGTCTGGGAAGTCGCAGAAAGGTGGGAGAGGTCTTAAATTGAAGGTCTTGAACCCAGGGACTCGGGAAAAATAGCAGAATTCCCATAAAGTTGCCAGAAAACGAGATATAACGTAAAATATCCACCATAAGAAATGCATGGGGACTGAAAAACGTCTGCATTCTAATCAGCTGTTGCTTATTTATTTTCAATGTTTACATTTATTCCGAAAGTCAATGTTGGTAAATAATGTTTCAAAATGAATTGTGTTTAATTTTTTTGTTTTACGTTTTTAAAATGAGTGAAGTAACTAGACAGGGTAGGGGAAGACCTGCTAGACGTGGATGCAAGACGTGGAAGTGTCCAGGAATTCAACAGACTTAAGAAATGCAAAAGAGAACGTCATGTAGGGCCTAACTGTGAAAGAAATCCAGAAGCTGTTTTACAACCTGTCTTTAGAAGAACGCTGGAAAATGAGTTGAGTGTTGTTTCTCACAATCTAGGTCTTAAAGCACTTGCATGCATTGTGGCGCATTTCACTTTGCAGAGGAGGCCGCAAATGGACATTTCAACGCATGCTGCCACAATGGACATGTCACAACCACAAGAAAATGACGAACTAAAAGAACTGTTTTTACATGATTCGAACTTCATAAAAAACATAAGGCAATACAACAGTGCAATGGCCTGTGCGTCGCTTTCCGCTACACAAAAAGAGATTCCGGGAAATGGGCCTTACAGTCTTACAATTCAGGGACAAATTCATAGATATTTCTGACTGACTACCACGAAATGGGGAGTTTCCTTCATAATAATTAATAATAATTTTGACCTTTACATGTGGTTCTCAAAATGGAAACTATAACAGAATTCGTAAGATTACAAAACAAATCTTCAAATTTTAAACTAGAAAAGATGTGCAATGTTTGGCTGTATGGTTTCAGCTCTGATTCGTCGTTCTCCGGGCTCAGGCCAAACCGTGTGCACAATTCCATTTGTTAATATGTTGTGTTATTGATTTAATCACTATTTTACAATTGTATTTCATTGACACATCAGAAGCAACTAATATACGACTCCAACAGAAGGAAAACCAAGATATAAAAAAAAACACTGTTAATTTTAAGTAACATAAAATTTATAATTTTAAAAACATTGGCCTATTTCGAATATTTGTCATTTTATATAAGTATGGTTTTTTTATTGTAGTCTAAATTAGGGGCTATGGCCCCTATAGGCCACTAGTATATATATATATATATACATATATAAAAATTTGAACGAATGGTGTTTTTGGTCTCTGGGGACATCAAAATGAAAAAGTAAATCGGTCCCGGGTCTAGGTCTTACCATGCCACCTACGGTAATAGCTACTTCCCTATAGGGAAATTCGCTAAAAACAAATTGGTAACACTAAATTTACTTCCAGTGATTTTCTAAGAAATACAGTTATAACCCCAGATCTTTTCCAATGGAAACTTGTAAATCCTGAAGATATTATACGGGTTGCTAAAAGACTTAGTAATTCAGACAGCTGTGATGTATATAATATGAGTAACAATTAATTGTCTAAAAATTACTATTCCTAGTATTTCAGTACCCTTGGCATATTGCATAAATTTTTCATTGATTGAGGGAGTCTTTCCAGATCAGTTAAAAATATCCAGGATATGCCCAGTTCATAAGAAGGGCCCAAGGAACGAACCTTTAAGCTACCGCCCAATTTCAATAATTCCAGTAATTTCAAAAATATATGAAAATATAGTTCATGATCAAATCTATTCCTTTTTTGAAGACAATAAAATTTTCAATCATTGTCAATTCGGGTTTCGAAGGGACAAATCAACAGTCCAAGCTGTAGACAAACTAGTTCGTGAAATTATTTCTTCCTTTGAGACCAAGTCATATGCCCAGGCCACCTTCTGTGATCTTAGCAAGGCTCTTAGCAAGATTGTGTTAATCCAAGTGACCTAATAAAAAAATTAAATTACTATGGAATTACAGGCTCTACTCTAAAGCTCATAAAATCTTACTTATCTAATCAAAGACAAAGGGTTTACACTGATGGTCTCTGGTCTCAAGAAATATCAATAAATGTGGGTGTGCCCCAGGGTTCGGTCCTGGGTCCACTTTTGTTTTTAATATGCATTAATGATCTCCCAAATTCAGTTAATTCCTCAACTATTCTTTATGCAGATGATACAACCTTTTTTCACAGTAATAATGATTTTGAACAGCTAAATTTATTATCAAAAAATACCCTCACCACATCATCAGACTGGTTCAAAGCAAATGGGTTTCTCTTAAATGAAAGTAAAACACAGAATGTTGTTTTCAGTCTAAGACCCCTCCCTAATAGCGGGACTGATATTAATATCGCAGTTAATTCGGTGAAATTTTTGGGCATAAAAATAGATAGTACTCTTACCTGGGGATCTCACATTGATTAGATAACACCAAAACTATCAAGAACAATATTTCTCCTAAGACGCCTGGTTCATTGCTTGGAAACAAATTCTGTTAGAACTGCCTATTTTGCCTACTTTCAATCAATAATTAGATATGGATTAATTCTCTGAGGTAACTGCAGTAGAGTGGATGAAATCTTAATTCTCCAAAAAAGAGCCGTTAGGGTTATCGCTGAATCTGAACTTGATGAACATTGTAAACCTCTTTTTGTTTCAATGAAAATTCCTACTATTATTAATCTGTATATCTTTGATTTAACTGTATATGTAATAAATAACACAAAAATACTAAAATTCCATGAACACAGATATAATACTAGAAATAAAAATCATACTTCCATTGACTACCACAGGCTCTCAAAATCTATAAACAGCCATGTTGTTGTAGCTCCAAAGGTTTACAATAAACTCATTGGCCTTATCTCAAAATATGATGTCAAACAATTCAAGAGAAAGTTTTATAACATGTTATTAATAAACCCACTTTATTCACTTAATGAGTTTTTTTCTTGCCAAATTGCTTTCTAGATCGTTCTATACACTTAAATACAAATCCCCACACTCTATTAATTAATAGTCTCTATAAATCATTCTTCACATTAAAACTATTATTGAAAACTAATCCTCTCTTTTTTTATTAAGATATGATGTTATCAGAAATTATTTTCTATTTTATCTGTTATTGACGTTCCAGGCCAGCTTGAAGGAGAAATTGTTTGTTTAATTGTTTTGTTCTATATACTATATAATTTAAGTTTAATTTTATATTTACATCTACTTTAATTTGCTTCATGACAATTTGTAAAATGCAATCTGACCTATCCTATTGTACTTTATTGTACCGAATGGAAATAAATATATTTGATTTGATTTGATTTGATTAAGAAGTATTGCGACGAGATAAACTTTGAGGTGTCGGCTGTTAAGTTGTTGAAGTATAATGTCATAATTTTGGAATTATACAGATCTCCCAATGGTAAAGTGAATTTATTCTTGAAAATATTAGATGACTTATTGAGATTTCTAACTATTTTTAAATGCAGAATAATTATATGTGGAGATGTAAACGCAGATTTTGACGTAACCACAAAAAAGACTAGTGTTATTAAGCTAATGAATCTCTTAAGACAATATAATTTATACTGTACCAATTTTCAACGCACACGAGGCTCAGCCTGTTTAGACAACATCATGACGGACTTGCAACAAAGTGACTGTGACACCAGGGTACTACAACCAAATTTATCTGACCATAAAGCACTCCAATTTGAATTTAAAATAGGCCTAGCTGAAAATATTGATAAACCCAAAATGAAATTAGATAGGAAATTTTCCTTGGACAATATTATCAAATTCCAACATCATCTATGTAGTCTGGACTGGGATTACATATTGAAAGAGCCTAATAATGCATCGGCCGAAGATTTGTTTTGTCAGTTTTTTAAAAATTTTTTGTCAATTTTTGAATTATGCTTTCCCTTACAAGAAATTAAAATCAAAAGCAAGCCCCGTATATGTGCTAATTGGTACACACCCGAACTTGAGAAAATGAAAAATCAGATTTTATTCTGCAAAAGTGTGTATGCAAAATCACGAAGTGAACAGCTATTAAATAAAGTAAAGTACCTCAAATAACAGTACAAACGGGCCTTGAGTGATGCAAAAAAGGCCAAGAACGAAGAATTCATCGACGGGTCAACCAACAGATGTCGAGCAGTCTATTGTGATTATAGTGTAATACTGAATGACCAATAAATCTATTCTATTCTATTCAAAATTTGAAAATGCCAAATAAGTACTTTAGCTAGGAGTGCAAAGGTGAATTGACTAACTTGATAAAACATGTCAGACTCATACATGCCTCCACCCCAAACACGCAACATGTTCATATTGGCATCTCTGGAACTGGCCAATATGTGGTGCACCTGTAACAAACAAACATAACATGTCAGACTCATACATGCCTCCACTCGAAATACGCAACATGTTCATATTGGCATCTCTGGAACTGGCCAATATGTGGTGCACCTGTAACATACAAACATAACATGTCAGACTCATACATGCCTCCACTCAAAATACGCAACATGTCCATATTGGCATCTCTGGAACTGGCCAATATGTGGCGCACCTGTAACATACAAACATAACATGTCAGACTCATACATGCCTCCACCCCAAACATGCAAAATGTTCATATTGCCATCTCTGGAACTGGCCAATATGTGGCGCACCTGTAACGTACAAACATAACATGTCAGACTCATACATGCCTCCACCCCAAACATGCAAAACGTTCATATTGGCATTTCTGGAACTGGCCAATATTTGGTGCACCTGTAACATTCTACAAACATAACATGTCAGACTCATACATGCCTCCACCCCAAACATGCAAAACGTTCATATTGGCATTTCTGGAACTGGCCAATATTTGGTGCACCTGTAACATTCTACAAACATAACAAGTCATACTCATAGATATTGTAAAGACTCATAGGGGCCTCTTATGCAAGTTTTAAGCAAAATTAAATTGTGTACTTTCTAAATTAAGTTTAAATGAAATAAACTTTACCAAAGGTCGGCATTCTCACAGGATATCTTTTATAAACGGGCCCGGTGCGCAAGAGGCTTTAGGTTTGTTGGGGGCTCAAGGAAGAGAAAAAAGTACTCCACAAGAGGGGCGCAATTATCCCTTGGGCCCAGAGGTGCCCATCCCCCCCAAACCCAGAGGCGCAATACTCCCCCCCCCCCAAGCCAAAGGAGTAGTCCCCCCCAATTTATGCTGCCGTCTATTTAAACCTACTCTCTCCGGCTCCCCCCACCAATTTATCCGACGATTTTCCCTTTACCTAAAACATAAAACTTTACATAAAACGAGCGTTTCAAGTATTTAGTAAACTTGAGGTACAAAAAATAAACTTGCTGATAATCAAAATTAAATGTTTAATATGAAACGTCATTTAAAAATACATCAGTATATCTAACTGATGGACGAAATAGAAGTTTTTCAATTTACAATTCAGAATCTGTCTTCAACGTCTTCAAAACGTACAACAATATACTCGGTGAATTACTCTACTCCAACACAGTACTGTAACTGTACAATATAATAGGTGGCGTTAATTTTTACAGGGCTTAAGAATTCAACCAGCTTTAAGTGCATTAATAATACATTGGCAAAAAGTATCTTGTTTCAAAATTATAGGCAGAGTCACAAAATAAGACAGACTTGTTGCTCGCCACTCCCAGGCTGCCTTCTACAAAAATCGCCGACAATATACCCACAATACCTTAATTGCCACCAGTACAAAAGACTTTTGTAACGAAGTAATCTTATAATTCATTTTGATAGCCCCAAGATAGCCTTTTATGACTAATAATGGTAGAAACACATCTTGTCAGACAATCCGTTTGTACACAAAACACGAAGAGATAGGCCTATCAATTCACGCGTGTACATATTGCCGCGGGCAGGACTGGAAGTAAACTGAATCAGGTTATGTCGGAAAGACGTGGTCTCTGGATTGTCGTCTGTGTTATCAAAAGCTGATATTGGACTAATTGTAGTGACGGAGAAGAGTGTTGAAAATATAATGGGATTCATAATTGATTTTTCCATTCAAAACTATTGGCAATAATAACCAATTTATATGCTGGATATAAATTATGGTCTCGAAATTCTACAGTACTGCGAGAAAGGAAATTTATTAAATACTTTGAGGAGTTTGAAATATATAAATACATAAAACTAGGGACAGCACAACATTTTTGAGTGAAAACACTCAATTAATTAGGAATCCCATTATATTTTTAACACTCTTCTCAGTCACTACAACAGTCCAATATCAGCTGATGAAAACGCAGACGACAATCCAGAGACCACGTAGGTCCGTCATAGCCTGGACCTGATTCAGTTTACTTCCAGTCCTACCGACGGCAATGTACACGCATGAATTGATAGGCCTATCTGTAATCGTTTCGTGTTTTGTGTTAAATGTTTGTAACGTATTCTGACGACACCTCCAGAAGTGGATCTTTTGTAAATTCTGACGATGGTGGAGTTAAAGAACCACAAAAACGTATGTAGCAAGTAAAATTTGACACTGGTATATTAAGGATTGTCTGACAAGGTGCGTTTCTACCATTCTTAGATGCAATCATAATAAATTATAAACGGCAAAATGTTGTTGGTGTTGATAGTGAGCTACTTAGAAACACTTTTTCGGGCTGCTTATACAAAATTTTAAATTATACATTCATTATGACAGCTAGCAAAAAAATATCCCCCCCAAAATTCCTTAATAAAAGTCCCCCCCAAATATTCCTGTGGCGCAAACGCGCCACAGTACCCCCCCTCTGGGCACCCCTGCTTGGGCCCGTGGCGCATCACATGCAAACCGCGGGCTTAAATGCTCAAACATATTTTTGACAAGTATAAAGAAGTCTGATTCGCTGTCTTTACTTAAGATGTAGTAAATAAAAATATTTATCTCCTTTAAAATCCTTGACCACTCAAGCTCATAACTACACCCAGTAAAACTTACATACCGGTACCCCATATGTCACAATGATAATTTTGTCTTTGCTACACAGAATAATAATTGTGTGTTTAACTTATTTGACTGTTAGATATTTTAGTGAGCCAAAACAAATTTTAAACCTATCTGTTATATTAAAACTACCATATACAGTAGAAGCATCATTTCTGCAGTTACCTCAGGGTTTGGAATGTACAAAAATCTAAGAGTATGGGATAAAATTTTGGTCCGAGAAAACAAAGATAATAACTTTGTTTGTTTGAAGGCTTGAAGGTTTGAAAGGGATGACTTTGTTTGTTGGACAGTCATCCCCTCCACAGTGACGTCACCATGTCCAGTGTTTGTTGCATCCCTTATACAAGACAAATTAAGTATTTATTTTTGTAAACCGTAAAAATATTATCCACTATCAATTTTTGCTCCGTTATAGGAGAAGTGAGGGCACAAATACCTGTGCATGAGTGAATCAGAATAAATATAGAAGTATTGAGGCAAAATCTGTCATGATAAAGACAAAGGATTTCTGTTTGGTAATAAGATGACAATAAATCAGCAAAATATATATTATGCAACTTAATTGGTTTTTTGTTGTTAAAAATAAGATTAAAAATGACTAACCCGCAATGGATCTGCACTCAACTCAGGTAGTATATGTGCTGGAATGTAGTTTGAGCCCTTGGCAAATATTGGCACACCATTAACACGGAAATAAAAGGTCAAACCTGTAAAAAAGTTTTTTTAAGTTACTTAAAAGAAATAATATAGTTACTGGAAATAATATTTCCAGAGAATCTATATATGGTGGGGCAGGGAAGTATCCCTAATTTTGAAGGTACATTCAAATCAAATCAAATCAAAATATCTCTATTCATAATCTGTACATGATTGGTACATTGAATAGTGTCAAAATAGCCTATATTACATTTAAAATATTTTTAACATAAACTTAAAAATGTAATCAAACAAAAATAATAATAAAAATTCTTAAAATACCGAACAAAACTTATGTAACAGACAATGGTTTTAAACATCAGCACCAAATAGACTAAATTAAATTTACTAAATTAACTAACCAGCACCTCTATAAAAATTCTCTAGGGAGTACCTAAATAGCCCTTTCAGTCAAGAAAGGTTTTAATTTACATTTAAAGGAATTTCAATTGTTGTTATCTTACTAATATTATAAATGTGAAAGTTTGTGTGTTTGTTTGTTTGAAGGTCAATCAGGCTTTAACTACACTGGACGGATTGGGCTGAAATTTGGCATGATGATAGCTCATATTCCCGATTACCATAATATAGGCATATTCTTATCTCAAAAATCCTTTCGGGCTCCTCTCTAGTGGCTCTGTAGTTTCCCATGTTAACGTTATGAGTATTCATATTTAAAGGGAATTAAAGAATTTAGTCAGCTGTTTCAACTAAAAAGTTGGTTTTATGATATGCAAAAGTATTAAAAAGTTATAAGATTTACCAACAGGGTGCAGCACTATTTTATTTTTTTGCATTTATGAAATCACCTAATTTGAACTAAGCAGCAACAAAAAACTGTGATAGGCAATAAGAACTGTCAAAGTATGTTTGTTTACAGTTATGTTCATGTTTTTATATCTCATCATTAATATCTCATTATCATGGGAGATATTAACGTCGATTTGTGTAACCCTTACAGGAAACACATTATCTTAAATGAAACTTTCTTGCTATGCACGACATCCAGAGACTACAGCTTCCTCCTACAAGAATAACAAATCTAACACAAACCTCCATTGACTGGATATGTACAAATATGGATACAAACAAACTCACTCCAGAAGTCATCAGTGCAGGATGCCTTTCGGATCATACTGCTCAACTCTGTACTGTAAACTTCAACTCACAGGTTGACAACAACAGTTTGAGGTGACGGGAAATCCAGATGACAGAAGGGTTTCAATTGAAAATAAAAAGAACTATGACCTGTACTTGAAAACGATGTACTTGAAAAAGGTTAACTCTGACCAGTTGATGAAAGCTGAAAATAAATCTAAAGCTATCTGGGAAACAATAAACACAGTGTGGTCCAAAAAGGAAACACCCCTAAATGAAATAACCCTTCAAGTAGATGGCAAACTTATAAGTAATGTGACCCATGTTGCAGAGCATTTGAATAAATTTTTTACACAGGTAGCAGAAAAAACAGTAGAGAAACAAAAACACCTAAAGAACACAGCTCAAACCCCACACGTAACTCAAACAGGTCCACCGTTTTCCTCCTTTCAAAGCACGGACGAGAGGGAAGTTAAAATGATTATAAACAAACTTAGCAAAAAACTCGTCTGGAATCGATGAAGTCTCATAAAAAATACTTAAGCATTGCTGCAATGAACTAGCACTACCCTTGGCTGATTGAACTGATTGAGCTGACCCTTCACTACTTAAAATAACCAAAGTATATACGAAATTCAAAAAAGGTAGCACATTAGAAGCAAGCAACTACAGACCAATTTCCCTCGTATCCACCTTCTCCTAAATAAACAAAAAAGTTGTTTTAAAAAGACTTTTAGACCGCTGCACAAATCACAACCTGTTGAACAACCTGCAACATGGATTTACAAAAGGGAAATCCACAACAACAGCAATAATTCAGATGGTTGAGTCCCTGATTGACAGCCTAGATGAAGGAAGTCTAACAACAAGAATATTTCTTGATTTCAGTAAGGCATTTGACTGCCTTGACCACCAGCAAATCATTAAAAAGCTGTATTTCTTTGGGGTATCAGGGATAGAAAGAGAATGGTTTCAAAGCTACCTTACAGGCAGGAGTCAGTTTGTAGAATTAAGGCACAGAGATAACAGCCAAATAAGAAAAGCAAGATCAAGTTTTTAACCAATAAATCGAGGAGTTCCCCAAGGGTCTGTTATGGGTCCGGTACTATTTATTCTTTTTACCAACGATTTGCCGCAACAAATAGGACGGTAATAAAGACATTTGGGAATACAAGAACTGCATTCTTCATCAAGTATTCCATTCATGAAGCTGAAGATCTTCGTCAGACAACTGAGTAGTCACCACATCTTGCCAGAACCATCATCATCAACTTATATATTATAAATCATCGCACTGTCTCCATCACCAAGATCATCACCACCACAGATAATCCATATGCATCTCTACAACTACATCTCTCCAGCTCAATAGTAGCAGCTTCAGTGAGAACGTCATACAAGAAATTTTTATGACCAGTCCCGAATAGAGTAAGGACAACACGACTGAATGGTATAAAATTGTACAAAACGTCATGGCAGGATCGTCAACTAAAACTCTCAGGCACGTCCGAAGAACATCATATTTACTCAGCTACAGCAGTACCAAGAAATATTATATATATATATATATATATATATATATATCTAACAAAAAAACCACTAAGTGGTAACACTTTACTAATTTGAAATAATAACTTCGCCAATATATCTGAATTTTTAATTTTTATTAAAATAAAAATAAAAATTAAAAATTTTGATATATTGGCGAAGTTATTATTTCAAATTAGTATTAATTCCAATATAAACAGTTCTTCTTGAAGATTGGTAACACTTTCCCCGCCAAGTCAGCAATCCATAAAAGATAATAAATCATTACTTTTTCCGCCAAGAAAAACAATGTAATGTATGTAAGTTTGGCAACTTGGCGGCAGACTTTTGCTTGGTTTTTACTTTCTCCCCTATACCATAGTATATGGAGAAAGTATTGTTTTCGTCAAAATTTTTGAGTTTGAGTTTTGAGTGGATATATTCGTTTTGGGTCCCCCTGGACCCAAAAAAGTGGTTTTCGAAGTGATGTCTGTGTGTGTGTGTGTGTGTGTGTGTGCGTACGTTTGCATATCATTGTCGGGACACACGCCTGCATACGGCCAGACAGTCGGGCTAACACACGGTTGTCGGGACTCACACACGTCCCGACAAGCAAAGAATGCCTGAAACGTTGTAATCGGGTCTCAGAAACACTTAGAAAATTTTTGTTTTAAATGTCCCGACAGTCAATGTACGCCCCCGGAGTCAGTGATGTCTATCTTAGTCGGGCCCTATATCTCACACGTACGGTGGCGCGGCAGTGGTGATTTGCGGAACTAATGAAGTGTGTGGTTGTCCCGACATTCACTTCAAATGCAGGATTCATGTTGAAGAGATGCAATGTTGCCAGTTTGAAGTTCCAACAGTTTTTTGCATCATCTAGTGCTGACTGCTGGTGGTCGTGTCGTGGAGTGGAGCGGACTTGACCTTGCATGTTGCGGTTGCTCCTCTGACTTACAGCGTTGTAGTTGGATCTGCTGTTGTCTGCCTAATGGTGATATATTTTCTTCTACTGTAGTAACTCTCAACTCACTGAAGTTAGTTGAGGTTATGTTATTGTTATTGTTTATGTCGGTGAGGAATTTAATAACTTTCAGTCAGTTATTCCGATTATTCCCGTACAAAAAGATCACCAAATACTGAAAAACTATCAGTGGAATAAAATAATCAAATCAATTCAGTTATTTACGTTTATGGCAAATCATACAATTGATAGGCTAAGTAATTTATAGAACTAATTTACTTAAACTTAGGCCTTGCTAACTTGCAATTAATTTAATTAATTTGTAATTAATTCCAATTATTTTTGTAATTAATTTTCTATGGTTAAAATATTTATTATATCTTACCATATATTTGTTATATAAAATATTTGGTACAGTTTCTTAACTTAACTGGGCTACGCTTATATATATTGAAACTATCAATTCGATAAGTAAACCGTAAATCGATTTGTTCACTGTCGGTAAGTTTGGTTGGTTAGGTTAGATTATTACAGTTTCATTTTAAAACTTATATAAGTAGGTTAAATATATTTATTACTAAGAGATATTCTCAATTGATGGTTTCAATCGATATTACCGTAGCCCAGTTAAGAAACTGTACCCAAAATATTAAATAGCCTATATTTATATTTAGGAGGGTTCTATTTGACTTACATGTTTTTTTTCTTATTTATTTTAATAGGTACAGGGATGTATTTAAATGATATATGTTAAGTTAAACAAATCATGAAAAATAATTAATTTTATGCCAAGCTATTTACCTTTAATAAAATCTATACCTCATTGAAAGACTGGTCACCCACGATCGGGTGTCTCAGCGCAATACCCAACAAGACAAAAAGCTTCATTTCCCGAAGGTGAGGTTGGAAGTAGGAAAGAGAGATTTTTCGTACTTTGGGCCTAAAATGTACAATGACCTCCCCTGTGACCTAAAGATGCTGGGTGTGCCAGCTTTTAGATCTAGACTAAAGAAAATGTATTTTTGTAAATAGCTAAAATCTTGTAAATAAGGGGATCAGTATTTTGTTTTGTCTTTAGTTTTAAGTTAGGATTAGTTAATTGACAAGAGTCATCCTGTAAAACAGTTTGTACTGAGGAGCGCTTGCTAATAAAAGGCATTTTTATTTATTTATTTAATTAGAAAGCCCAAGTGAAACTATTGAAGGGTTTTACTTATTTATTTATTTTACATTCCAACGGACGGCTCCATTTTGATATTTGGTACAATTCAGTGTATTAAAAAACAAGACTTACTTGAAGCTACATATACAATAAAGTTGAGTGAAAAAAAACAATCAAAATAAACTAATAACAAAAAAAGAGAAACGGCAACAAGATGGGAAAAAGACAGCGGTTGCAACAAAAAAATCTATAAAAGCGTT